TGGTCTTCAAACTGTGGGCTTCCCACCAGAAGATATGAACTGATACGGAGCTGAATACATTTGATTTACATCAACGTTATCATGCTCATCTTTACTTTTAAGGAGGGAAATGTAAGAAAAAGTCACAGAAGTGTCAGAAAACAAAATTATTGTTAACTCTATTCACTCTCTTGTTCTTCCTCGCAGTATGGACGGCTATGCCAACACTGGTCCTCCTCCCCCTCCTCCTGCTCCTGTCATCCCTTCTGCTCAGACGGCCTTTGCCTCACCTCCTGGAGGTCCGATGCCTCCCGGACCAATGGCTGGTGCTGTCGGCTATGCTCCGCCTCCACCACCTGTATCTGGAGCCCAGGCTGCTCCACCTCCTCCTGGTCCTCCACCTCCTCCACTTCCAGCTGGTGCCTCCCACTCCACAACGCACAAGATGTCCTCCGCCGCATCCGCTGAGACCACAGCGGTCAACGACGCCCGCAGCGATCTGCTGGCTGCGATACGTATGGGTAAGAACTGTGCCTGTGTGTCCTTTTGATGTAAATTTGTCCTCTTTGGACATGTTTACATTTATTTTAATGTATTTCTTTTTAACGATGCCTTTTATGAGTTTTCACGTTGTCTTATAACTTGTGTAATAATTGTGTAGTTAAAAAAAACACTTCATATTTTTCTGCAGGCATACAGCTGAAGAAAGTACAGGAGCAGCAGGAGCAGCAGGCAAAGAGAGAGCCGGTTGGAAATGACGTGGCCACCATCCTGTCGCGACGCATCGCTGTGGAATACTCCGACTCGGAGGATGACTCCGAGTTGGAGGAGAATGATTGGTCAGATTAACACGAAGACGTAAACAACCACATCAAAAGACACGCAGTCGATCGCTCTCACGCACACCTGAAAAACGCCCACTTTTCCACGTTCACAGGTCGTCACAGGCTTAGTTGCTGGAAACACACACATTACACCTACACACAGTCACATGCTGTGGGTTGATATAAGCTGAATGGTCCAAGACTGAAAATCTGGGGTTGTATTTGGGATGCATAAACACTGTAAAGAGACAAGTAATATAATGTAATGCTGACCACCCTGTGAAACACTAACACTGAGAACTGATGACTACATTACAAGCATTGTGAATACACCCCAGTGGATGTTTCTCTACCTGTTATTACACTATAGAAACCCTGTGAAGGTGCTTATTTTCAACACATTCTCATCCCTGGGCGTCAAATACAAGCATCCTGTCATATATCACCGTGTCACACAGTTGCACACAAATTGGCCTTTGGCATCCTATCTGTGGCAATATCACAGGCCAAGAGATACCCGTCCTCTATTTTGCAGCATTTTTGCATTTATTAAATCTTAATAGAATAGATGACAAAAAGATAGACAGATAGATAAAAGACGCTGGTGTAAGGCCTCAGCCACGGTACATGGCACCCACGCACTCCTAACTAAAATGTGCGCTGTATTTTCTGCAAGTCCGCTAGCGTCTGAGTGATGTCAGTTGTCACTTTTAAAAGAAGATCGATGGAGACTCCCCGCTGTTAACCTCTGTTGGGGTTGTCACCGTGGAGGTGGTGCTGAGGGTATTTAACCTACTTTTAATCATGCAAGTTACTTTAGACAAGTTGTGAAAAAGCATGTGGGTCATTACCACGTGGGCTGAAGTCTGTGCCTTAGGCGGCAGATGTCAAAGAAATATAACAGGAATGTTTACCCTGCTGTCGTGTCCGTATCTGCAGACGAGTGTAATGGAGGCTTAGGCGTTTTATACTTGAGCAGGGGCAGCGCGAAAGCAGTCCGGACTGTCCGTCTGCCTGCGGAGAGTGTTTGTTGTCAGATGGAGGCAGTGTACAGAAATATGCGGTACAACCGGTCTGTGGGTCACACACATACATATAACTTCTAACAGACAAAGAGCTAAAGAGGAACCAATTGTCAAAAACAATGAGCTCCAGCGTATGTTTTGTGCTCTTGAAGTTTTGATCTTTAATGTTAATTTCATGCTTTTCTTGTTCCCAATGAACTCCGCTGTCACTCACCTCCCTATTCCAGCCCACTCGTCAAACCTTGTCATTAGCATTTGACCTACGCGTGCGTCCAGCAGCGTGCAGTTTGGGATTTCGGAGGATTGGACAGGAGCACGTTTTTTAGTACGGTGTTCAAACAGAAACACATATGCAGACAGACGCATTTGCAGGACCATAAATTATGCTTTAAGCTCTGGTCACACCTATAACAGTCGTCTCTAAAACCCTCATTAGGGAGACGGATGGGTGGCTTTGTGTTCTGTGATTCTTTCACGTTTCAATTGAGGTGCTAAAAAGCACTTGATTATGTCGAGATACAGGCCTTCTCAACATGAATCCTGCATTTTGAAAAATGCTGATTACGCCATGTGTTTAAATGTGCTGCCAAGTGGTCTTTTATTAGCACCATGAGATAGATCCTCCGTCGCAACACACATGCCACTTTGTGCGTGCCTGTGAGGCCCAGCGGCTCAGACAAACAGGAGTGTTTAACGTCCATTACGGCAAAGCTGGGATGGTCAAGAAAAAAAAAAAAAGGAGTGTTTAACGTCCTGGGAATGAGAACAGGTTGTTATTTTATGTATAGTTAAAGCTTGAGAGTGTTAGAATTATTAGAAACTTTCCTCTTGAGCTAACCAATGTACCTTTTTTTTAAAAACTATTTTTACTGAAACACTTATGATGTAGATCACCAAGCGAGACTTTAATGTGTAGACAATAACTGGAATTTATGGAGGAGCTGGCTGCAGAACAGATGACCAGAACGAGCATCTGAAATACTTTGGGGATGGACGAATGGATGAGAGACTTACTGATGAAGAGTATGATAGGCTATTGAGCCGCCTGCTGTCGCTCACTGCTGTGAGGGAGGGATATCGGGATTGGGGAGGGCGGGGGCATGTATATGCTAGTGTCAGCTGTGTAACCTTTGACCCAGAGAAAAATAAAATGATGAATGAACAAAAATTACTGGGTTTCTGTGTCTCTTCCCTGTTGTCATAGGAACGACAAATACCTGGCCCTTCAGTTTCCATGGGAACAGTACAGCTAAGAAGGGAGTTGCCAGGGAAACAGAAGAGTGCGAAAAGGGAGGGGCAAGGATGAACAAAGGGAGTCCAGGCAGGAGTTTTATGCACAGCACATGTTTGGTTTTAATACAAAATTAACAAGATCTCTCAGTTGAGTGAACTAACCAAAGCAATAAAAAGTACAACTAACACCTTGGAAAAATAGACAGCACGGTCACACAAATGTGTTTTTTTTCTTTTTACAATATCTCAGTTAAGTTAGTGCATGTTGATTATCGTTTATATTTTGCAGATACTTAAATTGTTGTGCCATTTTCATCCCCCCAAAAATAAAGTGCATTTCACATCGAGAACTACGCATACGTTTACACAAGATGCTCTTACCGTTTCCGTGGTGTCGCCCCTATCTCCAAACCCAACCCTAAAACACACACGCACACACACATACCCACACATTCGCGGACCCTTGAGCAAGGCTGGGCAATTACCTTTCCTAAGGGATCACATGAGTAACTGGGACTGTTGTTGAAGCTTGAACCAATTTGCTGAATTCTGCTCAAATAATATCACTAAGCTGGACCATATCCTCATTTAGATTTGACAGCATTTCTAGTAGATAACGGTATATGGCGTAAGCATGAATTGAGGATATGGTCCGGGAAGGCCACAAAGGGCACTGGCGGTGGCTCCCGAGCCAGGCAGAACCCCATGTACAAATGAGTGACGAATTAATTGAAAAAGAGAGGAGAGGTGGGGCGCAGAAACAAGAACAAACTGCTTGTAGTGGGGCAGTGGGATTCATATATAGACGGAAAACTCTGAAATTCAGGTAAATTATCTCCAATTTATCCTTTGACGTTGACATGTCCAGGGTGTACCCTGGGAGCAGGGTGGGGCCCTCCACAACAGTCTCAGTTTCTCAGGTTTCCCCTTGGGAGCATTAATTGCCCATCCCTACCCTTGAGTGTTTTGATATTTAGCTCTAAATTAGGTCTTCTCCTGCTTAACTAAGCGCCCATTACTGGCAACATTACCCACCAAAAATAACCGCTGTTTAGTACACAACCTTAAGTACTATGACACCGTGAAACCTTTGGGTACATTAACAGGTGCGTCTACAGGTTCGTATTACATCCAACATCACAGTCGTTTGCCTTTCTTGGATACAAAGCCCTTTTTCACATGTTCAACAATGAAAATCTCAACAATACTGTTGGCTGCACACAAGAGATTCACATTCACCAATGAGAGAAAGTCACGTACCACCAAAACATCTCCCATACGCTTACCCAAGCCTTCCTAATCATCCTGTAACCAGCCTTGACAAACTGGTGCATATTGAAGCGAGGAAAGTAAAATCTTAACTGAACAAAGAGTCCACGTTAACAGCCAAAGTGGAGAAATGTCACTGAAAATATGGTGCAACCTTAACTCATCCTGTAGTTTGACTGGCTTTGGTAGCACCATGCACGGTGGGTATAAAGTCCCTCCTCTTCGGCATGCCTTATTTACAGAAACACACAAGTCGAGAGAGTCGGTTAAACAAGTTGATAAATACTACATTCAGAAAAAGGCTTTACAGCGCGGTTAATATATCAAGACAACATCAGAATCCGAAAGAAGTCAAGCCAGACTGAAGTGGAAAAAAATAGAACTTCTCAATGAATATAACAAAATAGACTTTTCTCCAAAGGTAAAGTAACAAGAGTTTGTGATGGTTTGTGGTGTGCCAGTCTGACCTGTCGGTGCTAATCAAATGACTACAGGGTGCAGTCTGACACTGTGCACAAGTTCACATACAAGGGCTACACTCCAATGCTTGGAAATGCTGTCCTTTAACTTTCCTCACTGATCCCACCTGGTCTGAGGCCAGAAAGATTAATACTGGGAGCCCCACAAATCAGGCTCTCTGAGAGTTGGGGGAAGCAGCAAGAAAGGAAAGAAGAGACATTATCTTTTTATTTGGAAGTAGCCTTTTTTAGCTCATAGGATCATTCAGAGGTCACTTAACGGACACCTGCCTCAACCAGACTAAACTGTTTAACGTAGAGTAAAATATTAGTGATAGAGGAGACAGAAGACACCAGCAGGACTAGGATCCCAGTTCATTTAGAGTCCGTTTCACTTTGGCTTGAGGTGCTGGAGCTCCCTCCAGCCACTGCACCCACCTCCTAGTCCCATCTCCTTCCAAGAAGCTCTACAAACACATAACGAGGCCACTTATTTCAGAATTGACAGGAAGACTTACAGCATATTCCTATAAGGTCAGAGGTCAACAGGACTTGATATGTCTCAGACCTACATTATTCCCCCTCTGACCCACACAAGGAGACAGATTCTGGTCTGCTGAGATGATGGATCACACTCACACACATGCACACACCCAGAGACCATGCAAAACAGTCCCAAATCACACATTTGAGATTACAAAACTCAGGACGGACAGTTCGTATGCTCACAAAAGGCAGAGGCAACAGGAAAAGAAAGTTCACATTTTCACCCCGGTGTGATAAATGATTGAAGACCGATGTAGGGTTGTGGAGAAATGAGGCAGTGGTGTCACTGTGATGAATGAGTAGTTTCATCCTCTTTTTTTTTCTTTTTACTCAGCCATGGGAGTGATTATGTGTCTATCATCCATTTGAAGATGTATCTCTGAAGCATCACTCGTAGTTCGCTGAGCCTGTTCTTTGCAACACATCGCCAAGATGGTACTTGACTCTGTAGGAAGAAGTCGCGGTGGGATGCGGATGTTATTGCTGTCTGAGTATTGCTTCGCGTCTAAAAAATAACTACCAATCACAGGCTAGTTATTGCTGAATAGGAAATAAGGACTTGACGATTTCGAGAAGGTTGCAGACCTGTTTTTAAACCAAAATATTCTGGAGAACCAACTCAGAGCAGCTGAGGAGTGATGTGGAATGATCATTATCAGAGCATCTGAAGCAAAATGCTGAAACAAAAACCTCTCCTGTGACCTTGGTGCAATGATTTTAGCTCTTTCAATGTGAGGTACATTATACATAAACACAATTATTTGGGTCATGGCGACATCAGGAAACCACGGCACATTGCCTGCAGCGACCTGTGTGACCTACCACACTGAACTCGGGAAGAGCAATGAGGGACCTGCATGCAAATTAAACCGGGCCATTACATGCACACCTATTAATGAGGCTGAGGCTCTTCGGGAGGGAAACATGATCAAATAAAATAAACAGTATAATTTTGCTACTCTGGTTCCATTTATTTGATCAGCTGTGTTAATTTCACCACCCATGTTATTCCTCAGCTGTTTTTCTTTTATATGTTTGAAATGTAAATCTCCCCTCAGGAGGTGGAGGAGGAGAGGTATGTAGTCATGTTATTTAATCCAACAGGCCTCTATTTGATTTGATGCCTCCATCCATACTAATAAAAAAATGAAAGAGGGGGCTAATGGGGAAAGTCTCTCAAGTGCTTTGTCTTGGCCTTCAGAGATGCGAGCTGAACTAAAATACCTCCAGAAAGGGTGGAAAAAAGGGATGAGAACATGAGAGAGGGGAGAAAAGAAAGAGGGAGCGGCTTGATTTCTTTCCGTTGAGAACGCAGGGCGCAGATCAGAGAGCTCCGGGTCTATTTATAGCTCTCCGCGGCTGTTTAGCTTTCGACGCACGTTCGGAGTGCAGCAGAAGAGCTGCCGGGTTGCTGCTGCTCCAGACGGGCTTTGCTGTGGAAATGCCTGCGTACTGAGCCGCGGTCGGCTCCCTCCCTCCTTCCTTCTCTGCTCATCACAAACTAATGCGCCGTGAGGTTTTTACACAAACACACACGCAGGCGCAAACTAACAATTCCTCCCTGTTGGTGGAAAATAAGCACATGTCCTCAAGTGGTCCGGTTCCGCTTAGTGTATGCATGTCTTATATATACAGCTGCTGCCTTTAACATGTGATGCACTCAGTGCTCTCTGCAGACATGAGGAAGGGTGTGGCATGGGTTGAACGGGAGGAAGTCCCGATAGTGGTCTTTATTGGGGAAGACAGTGAGATACTTTGCCCTGTGGTACGTGTATCAAAGAAAAAAAATGCCATCTAGCCATCCATCCATGCATCCATTTGGCTGTGGATGATTAACCAATCTGCGTCTGCCAATGACATCTCCAGGCCAGAGCTCAAGCCACAGCCCTCCACTACTGCCCCGGACCTCCTCTGCTGCTGCTCTCTCTTTGGCACTGGTAAGATCCAGTGAGGAGCAGAGCTGACCCAGGTTGCCTCTCTTTCTTCCCACCTGGGTCTGCTTGGTCAGACATCACTCGGAGTCCGTGCACGGTGGGCCACACTGGTGGGAACACAGCCGCAGCACACCAGCCACAGCGCCTTCTGAATCTCCTGGTTCCTGAAGGCATAGATGACCGGGTTTATGACCGAATTGTAGGTGGCAGGCACCAGTGTGGCGTAGGTATAGAGCGGCGGGTATGTGTAGTCAGCGATGAGCGAGTAAACAGTGAATGGCATCCAGCAGGCAGCAAAAGTACCCAGGATGATGGCTAGGGTGGACACGCCCTTTCGGGTTGTGACGTAGTGGGGTGTGGCAGCCAGGAAGTGGTGCTGCAGGGCGATTTGGTGAGCGTGGCGCATCACGATCTTGCAGATCTGGACGTAGAGTTGCAGCATGAGACCGAAGAGCAGCAAGAAGGAGACAGACAGCACGGCGATGTTATTTTTTGTCAGCGGCCGCACCACGCTGCATGTAGCCGCCTCTGCTAGGCAGTTGACCCCTGTGACGGGCAGCAGGCCTAGACAAAGGGACAGGCCCCACAGCAGCACAAGCATGGTGTAGGTGAAGGCCGCTGTCCGCTCTGAGTTGTAGGTGAGGGCGTAATACAATGATAGGTACCGGTCAATAGTGATAGCCAGCAAGCTAAAGACAGAAGCAGAAAATGAGGCCACTATCAAGCCCACAGTCAGCAACTGGGCTGAATCAGAGCGAAGCAAGTAGGCACAGGTGAAGTGCAGTACGAGGCCCAGGCCGGCCAGCAGGTCAGCCAATGCCAGGCTGCCAATCAGCAGGAACATGGGAGCTCTGAGCGCTGGGTTCTGCCAGATCACAAGCACCACCAGAGCATTCTCACAGGCTATCAGAGTCCCAGATGAGCACAGCACAATGTCCCAGGGGTTGACCAGCAGCGGCAGCTGGCTGGGCCGCAGGGAGTCTTCCGGTGGAAGCGGCCCCAGGCTGGTGCTGTTGTCCATTGGTCCACCACCTCCACTGGCCCAAGCTGTGGAATCAGGAGCCAGCCAGCTGGGGGTGACTGGTGGCTCTTCACTCATTGTGCCCCCCGTCTGAAATTGACAAAAACAAATACAGGTCACTCTGATGTTATGCATACTTTGATGGCCAAAAAGAGCACAAGAAGCATCATATAAACCGGCCACAAGTGCCTCTTTTTCTATGTTTTGGGCTTTTTACATGGGAAGACAAAAACAGGGGCTGTTTCATCAGTACTGTCTGCATCGTACATCTCATGCTGTTAAGACCCAGGGTAACTCATTCCACAGACAGTCAAGGTTATATACAGTGCAGGTGGTGCACAGAACTTTAGGAGCAAATTGGCAAACCCTCACATTACCTCAGTGTTGCTTGAATTAAATAAAAGAAAAATCTGTATTTTTCATTTCCATCCTTTTAAAACAATAAAAGCCTGCGCTGAAGAAATACGCTGCTCCATACGGCTAACTGGTATTTTCCTTTGGGAATTTAACCCGTGACTGCTAAGGAGATTATAACATTTTTTTAATGTGGCAAGAGAAAAAAATCCCAAGAAGATAACATAAAGCAGAGCATGCTTTGCAGAAAAAAAATCCCAGGCCAAGACAGCCAAATATCGATAAACTACCAGAGGCGATAGCAGTAAGTTAATTCACAGACAAGTCCCGCTCTCCACAACAGAAGACACCGCACCCGTTATTTCAGGAATTGCTTGTTTCTTCCTCTCATACCATAAGTGCCGTTTTATCCTGTGCACCTTGCATAAGAAACACACTGGCTGCTCCACGTCAGCAAAAGGATGCTGTAGGGGGAGGAAAAAACCACACGCACACACACAGGCGGCATCTTTCCATGCATGTCAAGGATGCTCAATAATGCGCCTCCACACCCAGCCTACCTTGACTCTGTGAGCTGAGACTTCCCGGTCTAGATTGAAGAACGACAGCCTGACATTTCCACGGTATCTCACTGTGGACGGAGACGCAGCTCGGGAGAGGGGAATAAATGGAAGCAGAAAAAGAGCGCGGAGCGGCTCAGCCGTTAACGGCGCATCGCTGTGGACTGCGGCTGTGCAGGGAGCAGCGAGCGGAGCAGCGGCGGAAGAGATGAAGAGGAGGTGTGAGTGCGAGGGGGGTGGAGGGGTGATGAAGGAGGAGGAGTCCCAAATGGGCCAGATTGCCAGAGACCGGCTAAACTCAGTTAAAGAGCTAAATGTGTCTAGTCCGTGGCGTCTCAAGGACAAAGACAGGTGTGAAGCGCGCGTACAGGTGTCTGCGCTCTAGTACGGCACGGTTCGCTTTTTCTGACACGATTTCCGTGCAAAGAGCACACATATGATATTGCAACACTGGATCCTAATCTCATGAGGTTTGATCACCTGATCTGCAGGGTTTTGTTAGTTTCTATGACCCCTACCCCCACCCGGCTTTTTGCTACCCGACTCGTTTCACGCGTGAAGGTGCTGGATGCAGAGGCTCGGTTTCCTCCCGCGACGCCCTGCTATTCTGGTCCCGTCTGTGCTATTAACAGCTACCCAGATGTGTGTCACCCAACCTCCTCCCGTTCCCGCTGTCCTCCATCTTCTTTGTCACATCCCCTTGCACCTCTGCCAGACACCTCGTGTGAAGTGAATCGGGTGTGTTGGTGTCTCCACCTGACTACACTTAACTGACCATGCAGGGGGTAACAACGGCTGTGCGCGTTTCTTTAAAGGCACCTGTCTTTTTGGGCCTGAATGGATTAAAAATAGGTCCTGTTGTAGCGGGAAAGCTGGAATACCAAGTAACACCACTAAGGGGCGATGTTGAGTCCCCCATATGAGTCATCAGTGTGCACCTGTGGGACTCGAAAAAGGGAGCACACCCAGCCTCATTCTTACTGGCTTTATTTCTTTTTCTTTAAAACAGAAAATGATCGCTTCACAACAGGCCTTTTTTTCAAGCAAACCCTCACATTAAGCTTGCCAACACCTACAAAACGGTATCAAAAGTGCACCATAGTGTTAATACGTCTTCTCAAGGTCTAACATTTTCCTATGATAATATTATCTTCTTGTAATATTTATACAAATACCATTCTGTACACTGTAGAAATACACAGCCTGGTGTGTCCTCTATGTGGGACACCCACCCACTCCCCCAACAATTGATCTTCCTTTACATCCATGATCCTCTCTCAGTACGTTCCAGGTCACAATGTGGGGGGTGAAGACACCAGGCCAATGTTACATCATATGAATTATTAAATACCCATTCAACCCACACCCAAAGCAAAAACTAAAACGCCACTCATACAACCAACAAACATCTGTACAACCCTCATTCAAAGTATTTTTCTTTTTTTAAAAACAATCTTGACACAGTTTGCATTCAGTATCGTCTTATTGTCCGAGCAGCAGCAGCAGCAGCAGCAGCAGCGGATCATGGGCAGGGGCTGTGGAAGGGGCAGGAAGGACGGGGTCAGGCTGGTACGTATGGGGAATTTCCACGGCTGAGCTGCACTGCTGAGTGTGTAAAAAGCACAGGTATGGATTACAGCTGTGCAGACAGGTATGACACCGTGCAGGCTGCTGTGGTGCGATTAAAGTCTGCCGCCGTCCACGGAGAGGAAACAGAGCATTTCTCTTGGGTTAAGCAGTAACACACAAGGATCCAAATTTAGTCTCTGGACTGATAAAAGAGGATGTAGCCCGACTCAGAGTTCTTGGAGATTTCAGAAGTGAGACCGTAGAATTCTTCTATGGCCTGTGCATCGATTTTCTGTGGAACAGAAATGGAGAATGATTTTCTTTAGAAATAGAGGCTTACAGTGAACTCTAAATCACACAAACACACAAATAAACTCGCTCACCTCTACAATATCGTCATCAAACAGCAACCAGAAGTCGTGACTTTTCACAATGGCAATGTAGTGACCCCTGTTTGGACCACTGAAGAGCAATAAAACAGCACATTAGCTCAGCAAAGTCACTTTTAACCATTAAGCCTGACAGGAGATTTATATTTCGGTGTTAAAACTACACCCTAATCTGACATCCAACTCCCTGGAAATGTAACAAAACCTCGTGATTAGCCTGTTCGGTACTGTTAATTCTTCCTGTGCATTTCCAGCTACTTTTCCACTGCAGTTTTTGAATGAATCAGTAAGAATAACAATCATCACCTCAATATGAGAACAGAGACGTCAGCAAACTGATGGAGGGAGATTTGCCAAAACGACTCGAGTTTTCCCCCCCAACAAGCACTTACTCAGGTCCACTCAGTTTGAGCCATTTTCCCCATTACGACTGAGTACCACTTTAATATGGGTGGGGCTGTCATAGAAAGGTGGCCCGAAAGCCCAATGACATAATTTGTATGCAACACAAACCCAAGAGAACAATGGAGGACATCGAGGCTATGGCGTACATCTACCACTTACATACGTTAGTTACATTGTATACTCTGCAAAGATTCACTGCACAAGTCTAAAATCAACAGTGACCATCTAAACGTGGAGGTTTGTAATAATACAACAGATTCAGTAGCATGCGAGAGAAAGGGTAAGTAATGACTTCTACATTACCAATTTATAAGCACTAATGGATTAAAACACTCCGTATATAAAACACTCAATATAAATCAACACTCTTCACTTGAAGTGAGTCATCTGCATTTGTTTGGTTTTCAGACACTTCTCTACTGCTAAGTGCCAAGACGGGTACAATCAAAGCTTTAACTATTAATTATGAAAATGTTAACACGACTGCAAGCAAGTCTGGTAAGTACAACAATATGCCAGGAAGCGCCTCAAGCCCTTTTTTGTATAAAACTGAAATCGAAAGCAGTTATTAATTCTGTCTAACTCGACTAACCTCAGCTTCACCTGTGCAGCTTTGATGTAACACTTTCTATTCTTATGATGCAATAAGCCTGACGAAATGATAGGAAAGGGTTAGAAAACATATCATAATTTGATGTTTCTTAATGTTGCCGAGTTTAAGCAGGCAAGCTTAACAATGCGAGCTTTGAATCATCATTATGAGACCAGTTATTAAAAGTGCCAGCCTGATTGTTATTGTTTAGGTCTCCTTTGTGCCTCTGAAACAGCTGTGACCTGTCAGAGAGCGGACATTGGAGTACACGGTGTCCTGTGGGTTGTGAGGCCAAGATTTATCACATTGAGGGTTAGAGTTTCCCAGGAATACTCTGGGTATAGGTACATCGCAGCTACCAGAGCTGATGGAGCATTTCAGAAGTGGCTCCCCGTGTTGCATCTTTCAAAAACGGTACGGGGTCCGTTTTTTATGTTAGCTGTGTCACAGAGCAAGTGATGAATTGTATTCCTGGTTTTAGTCTGTTAGTTAGTTTTTGTGGTAAGGAGGGCACGCTGACTTGCTGGGGGAAGACTCTTGGTGTACCTTGTTTCTGGTCTTTGACAAAGTTTCGGTGAGCATAATGCATAAAAGTAAAATCTAGCAACTAATGTGCTGAAATCTGAAAAGTGGGATAGAGCCTGGGGCTTCCATTACAGAGAATGATTGGCAGACTATGTGGCTGATGCAGTTGCTTCTACCAACTCAGGTTCCTGGAAAGTTTTGCAGTAAAAGCCTGTTAAGATATTTTATGACCCCTAAATATAAGTATGTCCAGACAGGTGGAAAAACAAGTGGCGGATGTGCGGTGAACAGCTGGCAGACCACTACCATATATTTTAGAGTTGCTGTTTATTTTGCTTTTCTGGGAAGAGATAAAGGGCAATATAAACTGTACTTGGAAGACAGATGTTGTTGTTTTTTGGTACGGTTCATCTCTGTAACATCATGAGCAGTTCACCTGTCAAAGGTAAACACTGAAGTATTTCACTTGCACCCAGTAAGAAGGCAATAAGGAGTAGAAAAGTGAACCCCCAATTAAGAATGACTTGATAGTGTCATTCTTCATTCTCAAAAGTGAGTAATATTCATTAAATGGAAATATTTACTTTCTCTTTACATTTATGGACTAACCAATTTACAAAAAATTGAGAGAAATTGATGCATGATATAATTGTCGGTTTTATTTCTGTGACTAATCAGCGGCTTTAGCCACGACCATCAATGTCATGCTACGAATTCATCCCTGGAATTTAGTTCGACAGGAGACAGAAAAACTCAAGTGTAATCTATTATTCCTAAAACAGCTGTGGAAAACTGGACTCTGTTTCAGCATCCACTTGCTGAAAAGCAGTGAAACACCTTGAATAAACACTGACAGACTAACTCCCAGTGACACTGGGTCAAAGGCAGCACAGACATAAAGGAGAACACAGCTGAGCATTGATGGAAACTTAAATGAGCTAAACTTTGTCATATCTACTTTATCTACCTCATTTCCACTTCTACAGCCAGATTAGAATCAGCAGTTAACCTACTAACATGCACACCTTTGGACCATGGGAGGAAACCGGAGTAGCTAGAAGAAAGGTAGTAACACGTAGCAAGCTAACACCACAGGCGCCTCAGGAAGGTTCAAACTAGGGTAACTGTGCTAACCACTGCACCACCCATGCACAAGAGTCTACATGTTGCCCTATGAGATTCAGATGTAATGCAACTTTACTCTTGAGCCTACGGGTTCAAATGTATTTTATTATTAAAACAAAGAATTAAGTGTTTATCTCTCTATACCAGTTATGTGTTCACATACACACCTCCCACAATGCACCACCACGGCGACCAAGTCATACAGCCTCTCAGGATTGGTGGCGTCCCCAGAGGTGTTGAAGAGGCGGAGTTCCAGGGGGAAGACGACGCGATAGGACAGCTTGGTGTAGCGTTGCAGCTGCTCCATGTATTTAAAGCGCTTCAGGTGCAAAGCTAGGATCATCGGTAGCTTCTTTACACGCATCCTACATTAAAAGAACAATGACGAGTGCAACGCTGGATTTAAATGTCCAACCACAAACAAAAATCATACATTAAAAATGAACCTATACACTGACCTCTTGTGTGCCTCTTGCTTGCTTCTACATTCTTCACAGTAGTATTTGTACTCACTGCACAGTGTCTCTGTGTTACTAAAACCTCTGAGAGGAATCAAAAGAGAAAATCGGTCAATTTTAACTCCACATTTAAAAATACAACAAAATGCAGGGTGTGATTCACTTCCAGTTAATAACAGGCCTTTTTGCAGGAGCTATTCTGACATGAAATGGCCGGTAACAAAAATGTTAATAATAAAAATGTTAATAATAACTTCAGTCTGACTTAAGTGGGCTTCAACAAGATGTGTTAGATCTAAAATGGTTGCAGTTACTTGATCTTTTCAATCGAAAGACAGTGAAAATGATCCATTTCAGTTTCCAGGAGCCCAGCCTGTTGTCTCCAGATGGCTTTGCTTTGTCTAACCAACAGTCCAAAACCCAAAGAAACAAAGTGTAAGAAGAAAACAGGCAGCAAATGCTATCTTTTAAGAGCCTGGAACCATCAAATAGGTGTCATTTTTCAC